TGCCATTTAAAATAGCACACACACCCCCAAAATGTATAATTTAACAAAACACGTACAGGATCTGTATGTGGAGAACTACAAAACCCTAATGAAAGGAATCAAAGAAGACCTAATTAAATGGAGATGTATTCTACATTCAGAGACTGAAAGACTCGATATGGTGAAGATGTCAATTTTTCTGAACTTGATATATATATTCAATGCAATCCCAATCAAATCACAGCAAGCTATTTGTAATATCAACAAATTGATTCTAAAATGTAAATGAAAAGGCAAAACACCAAAAAGAGCCAACACGATACTGAAGAAACCAAAGATGGAGGACTCATACTACTAATATTTCAAGATTTGCATAAAGCTACAGTAATCAACACAGTGTGACATGGGTAAAAGAATGGGCCCATAGATCAGTGCAAATACAGGCAACTGAATTTTAATAAAGGCACATCAAAAAAGGAAGGAAAGAACTTTCAACAAATGGTGCTGGAACAAGATGCCCACAAAAAAAAAAAAAGAACCCAGACTTTACATGGCTAAACAGCCATTTCAGAGGAAAGAACAGAGAAAACAGGGAAGGAAATGAAATAAAAAACTTCCCTGAGTTGAAAGAAACAATTCCTGAAATTGAAAGAGCCAACCCATTGTCAAGTGATATAAACAAAAGAGACTCAGATACATCCTGGTAAAATAATTTAAGAAAAGGTTGTAAAGCTTCCAAAGAGGGAGGAAAAAAACAGATTGCCTATAGAGGAATGGGCTTAGTTTGACATCACAATTACCCATTACAATGGGTACTACAAGGTACTGAGGCAAAGCTTTCAAAGGGAAAATTAATTTGAGACTAGAATACCAAAGGAGCAGTCAAGTGTGAGGGCAAAATAAAGACATTTTTAAGGAACTGGATATTTTATCTCCCATTTACTGTTTCTTCAAAATTATTTTAGGATACAATTCAACAAAATGACTAAGATACTTAAGAAAAAGGAAGACATGGAATCCAAAACAAGGTAACTAACACAGGAGTTCAATTAAAAAAAAAAAAAAAAAAAGTCCCAGATTAGCTGTGCTCTGAAAGCTCTACATCAGTGAAAATTAGAACAAGAATCCCAATTGTTCAAGGTAAAAAAATTTTCAAAAAATGAGAAATTTGCATTCATCCAATACTGCAATCAAGCTAGGAAATTTTGATGATCATTGTGCTGCTTCTGGTAAAAAAAAAATTAACTAGAAATTTTTAAACAAGTTGTAGAAGAACATTACCACCCAAACATGAAGTAAAACAAACCCTGGTATCATTTTAAGTAAAATCTGATCATGATTTGTAGTGTAAGAGACTTCCTTCCTTCTGTTCCACGTCACAGAATTACATTTCCTTTTTTATGAGTCGAATTCACTACTTGGTTCTGCAGTAATTATTTCCTAATTATAACAGTAAAGATAACGATCACTAACACTTATTTAACACTTAATAGAAGCCCTATTCTAATTTTTTTAGATTTATTAGCCAGCTTAGTTCTTTCAACAACAGCACAGTAAGGTTAAGTAACTTGCCCAAGGTCATACATGGGTTGGTGAACCCAAGCATTCTGGTTCCAGAATCCTTACTCTTAAATACTGACTATGATTTTTCTCATAATACTCTTTGTTAATTTACCATTCTTAGAATCAACCTATCAATCTAAAACAAGAAGGAATAGTAACAATTATAAAACAAAATATAAATTATATAAAAACTTGCCAATGTAGAGAAAATAATTAGCCAAAGTAAGGAGAAGGAGAAGAATGTGTGTCAGCTATTTTTCTTATCTTCTTATACAGGAGTAGCTTCCTACATAATAGTTTTATTATAACACAGAACTTTCTACATAATAGCAAGTCAACAATTATATACATATATAATTTTTATATAAAGTAATAATATAAAAAAGAGCAGGGAGGAAAGAGATAATGAAGTTAAATTCCTCATATTTCACAGCAAGTATGATGGTTAAATTTATGGATACACAGCTGCTGTCAGTAGATATTGTCTAATTTTAATTTTAGAATGTTATATATAACCTATATAGTAACTCAGAAAATCTAAGAACAGAAAAGTTAAACTTGATACATTAAGAAATAGCAATATAAGCAAATTATTTAGAACTTTGGGAGGAATATCAGAAAAGCTAAAAATAGTAAAGGAGGGGGACTAGAGAGGGGGAAGTCCTTAATTTTTATTAAAATTATTAGATATTTTATTGTGAAAAATGTTATATAGTATTATTAATAAAAGTTGTCCTATAAAGAAGGGCATAAACTGGTGAGGACACCTTTCCATTCAGGCATGGTAATACAAGATGACAATAAATGCCACCCGTCCATAAAACCCAGTGGGACAAGGATAATAATATATAAACGTATTACGGAATACTCATATTCTTTACTGATTCTTTGTTTCCACATCGTTATGGACTAAATGGCCCATTTTTGTCATATAAACTTTTTTTTTTACTTACTTTCATTTTATTTTCTTTTTTAATTTTATTTTATTATGTTAATCACCATACATTACATCATTAGTTTTTGATGCAGTGTTCCATGATTCATTGTTTGCGTATAACACCCAGTGCTCCACGCAGAATACGCCCTCCTTAATACCCACCACCAGGCTAACCCATCCCCCCACCCCCTCCCCCTCTAGAACCCTCAGTTTGTTTCTCAGAGTCCATAGTCTCTCATGGTTCGACTCCCCCTCCGATTCCCCCCCTTCATTTTTCCCTTCCTACTATCTTTTTCTTTTTAACATATAATGTATTATTTGTTTCCGAGGTACAGGTCTGTGATTCATCAGTCTTACACAATTCACAGCGCTCACCGAAGCACATACTTCTAAAGAGACATTCATCAGCTTTAGACAACTATTGAATCACACATATTCTAATCCTCTGCTTTGTACACCACATTTAAGAAAGAGCTGTCTAAATTCACACATCGCTGGGGGCGTCTACATTGGTATAACCTTTTCAGAATATAATTTGGCAGTCTTTACTGAAATATAAAATATGACCACACTCTGACCCAACAATTTCACTTCTCAGAATCTACCCTACAGCAACACTCCCAAATACTCAAAGATAACTCCATACAGGGACTTTCAATCAAGACTACTACAGTCTACAACAGAGGAAAACGAAAACCACCTAAATGCGCACTAGTTAAACACAGTATTTTGTTGCCTTTTTAAAAAATAAAATACATCTATATGGAGTGACACTAAAAAGTATCCGCAAGAGAAAGGGGAACCCTCCTACACTGTTGGTGGGAATGCAAGCTGGTGCAACCCCTCTGGAAAACAGTATGGAGGTTCCTCAAACAGTTGAAAATAGAGCTACCATACGATCCAGCAATTGCACTACTGGGTATTTACCCCAAAGATACAAATGTAGAGATCCGAAGGGGTACGTGCACCCCAATGTTTATAGCAGCAATGTCCACAATAGCCAAACTGTGGAAAGAGCCAAGATGTCCATTGACAGATGAATGGATAAAGAAGATGTGGTATATAAACACAATGGAATATTATGCAGCCATCAAAAGGAATGAGATCTTGCCATTTGCAACGACGTGGATGGAACTGGAGGGTGTTCTGCTGAGTGAAATAAGTCAGTCAGAGAAAGACATGTACCATATGACCTCACTGATATGAGGAATTCTTAATCTCAGGAAACAAACTGAGGGTTGCTGGAGTGGGGTTGGGGTGGGAGGGTTGGGGTGGCTTGGTGATAGACACTGGGGAGGGTATGTGCTATGGTGAGCGCTGTGAATTGTACAAGACTGATGAATCACAGATCTGTACTTCTGAAACAAATAATGCAATGTATGTTAAGAAAAAAAAAGAAGAAGAAGAAGAAGAAGATAGCAGGAGGGGAAGAATGAAGGGGAGTAAGTCGGAGGGGGAGACGAACCATTAGAGACAATGGACTCTGAAAAACAAACTGAGGGTTCTAGAGGGGAGGGGGGTGGGGGGATGGGTTAGCCTGGTGATGGGTATTAAAGAGGGCACATTCTGTGTGGAGCACTGGGTGTTATGCACAAACAATGAATCATGGAACACTGCATCAAAAACTAATGATGTAATGTATGGTCGTTAACATAACAATAAAAAATTATTAAATATAAAAATTTAAAAAAAAGTATCCGCAAGATATCGTTAAGCAAGAAAAGGCAAGATACAGAATAATATACAATCTGTGTGTGAGATACATACATGACAGGTAGAGATAGACACATATATATTGGGCAGAAGGCAGTGGGCTTAAGGTGTGTGGAGGAAACAAGTTTTTGTCTTGAAGTTTGTTTTTTTTTTACAACTAGCACATACTGTTTTTATAAAAATCTTAGGAAATAAGAGTATATCTCAATACATTCAAAAATCCAAAAAGAGAAACACTCAATGTCTTTGCACTGGTTCACTCTCAAATCTAAGAAGGAAAAGAAATACCACACACTAGGTGGCGCGTGGACTAGAGAACAGGCTAGCTTCACCGGTTGGGTCGTTCCTTAGTGAACGATCTGGGAGTGGAAATGAGGACACAGAAACCACTAAGGCAGAGCTCAGGCGTGAACCCGCGAGCCGCAGGGCGGGCCAGGCGGCCGGGGACTGGCGCGGGGAGGACCCGGGGCAGGGGGCGTGGGGACACTTAGGAAACTGGGCCCCGAAGCTGGCACGCCAGGAAACACCCCAGGAACCGGGCGTGTGGGAAAGAGGCGGAGGGTCACAGAGCGAAGGCGCGGGCCGGCGCTCCGGGACCCAGCCCGAATCTAGGGACGCCTCCCGAGCCCGAGGCGCGGCGGGCGGCGACAGTTTGGCCCGCAGCCAAGGGTCAGCCCGGGGCGCCCGGGGCGGCTTTCGAAGCCGGGGAAGCGGGCAAAGCGCCGGGGGAGCGGGCACGGGCGGGCCGCCCCAGGCCGAGGCTGGAGCCGCCGGTGCGCGCCCGGGGCGGACGCCAAGCTCCCAGTACCTTCCCAGAAGAGCTCTCCTCCCGGCTCCCGCTTGAGGAACTTGTACCAGAACGTGTCCACGCGGCCCGGCTCCGCCCCGTCCTGCACCGCCTCCTCCGGCGCCAGCTCCACCTCCCCGAGCCACAGGCCCGGCTCCTGCAGCGCCAGCGCCCCCGCGCCCGCCGCGGTGCCCGCCGGCCTCAGGCGCACGGCCCCGCGCGGCTCCCAGCGCCCCAGCTCGGGCCGCGACCCCACGACCAGCAGCTCCGGCCCGGCCCCGGCCACCGCGGGCGGCACCACCACCCCGAACCGGAACCGCATGGCGGCGGGCGGCGCAGCTCCGGGTGTCGGTGCCCCCGCGGGCGGCGGACGTGGCCCGAGCGCGAGGCGGCCGCGGCGATTGGGCGGCGGCGCGGGAGGCCTGGTCGCCAGAGGCCGGGGCGCCGGCAGGGACACGTGCGAGGCTGCACCTTTTTTGGGCTGCATCACGCGGCCCAGGAGCCGGGCCTGGCCCCACTGGGGGCCTGTGGCGCCGGGCAGCGGCCGCGGGGGAAGTGTCCTCTCGCGGAGAAGGACACTTGCCCGGGCCGGCCGCTTCTTCCCGCAGCGCGGCTCCGCGGGGCGGCTGGGGACGCGGCGGAGGGGAGAAAAGGGAGTCCAAACGGGTCAGGGAAGGGAGGAGAACATCTTCGAAGCCCTGCGATTTTCCTGTCAGCTTTCCCAAAGAGTCGAAATTATGTTTTTGTGGGTCGTGAACAAAAAGGCATGGCAGGTAGACAGCAGCCTGCGGAATCGTGAAGGTGGGGGAAGATCGTGGCCGCGGGATCTGGAGAGCCCCGGCCCTTCAACAGGTCCCCTACTCTAGCCTCCGGTTCTTTATCTGTAAAGTGAGGGTATAGAATAACCATCTTGAAAGATCCTGCTAACTCTAAAGGTTTCTCTGACTGGTGGAAGAGACGCCATTCAGAACCCAGAGCTGATGCAAAAAACGCTGGTTACTTTTCCCTTGTCTAGTCCAATTAGATGCCTGAAATAACACAGGATCGCTTACATTTTTTCAAAAAATGTTACATTTTTAGTATATGTAAAGCGGGTTTGGAGTAAATACTTTCAAGTCCTTTTCGAGGTAAAACAAAGACCATAATTCTATGATTTCAAATGTGTGACCTAATTTTTTTGGTGGCATAAAAATAAAACCTGTTGTTTAAAATTTGCTTTCAGTAAACAAAACGCCTTTGTGTCAAGAAATACAGATTTATAGCCGTTTGGTCAAAAAAAAACCTATTTACATGGTTGGGGAGAAGGCTTTAATTTTTGTCACAGCTGTAAGATAACCATCCTTCCTGTTTACATATTTGTTATTTTTTGATTCTTTAATAAAATTGCTCTCCTGTTCTATTTGTATACTCACCACTTAACACAACAATCTCTTATGCGAACCAGAGACACATAAAATATCTCTAGTTCATGTTTTTACCAGTATTTGAAAGCTTGGGAAAATGGGAGGGGGGGAGCCAAAATTTCATACATTAAGAATATCATAAGTAAAACAAAAAGAAGTACAAAAATGTAAACGCTACAAACTCAGTCTCTCAGTGGAACAGTTAGTAAACTAATATGCTTTCCTCTTAAATACTGATATTCCGTTCCGTGTTTGGTTGGTTGCTAAGCTTAAGGATAAACACAAAGAAAAATGTGAAGACAGCAAGGCTGGCCAAACATGGCTGATTCAGTAGCAAAGCAGACATTAAATCACGGTGGCATGTGAGTCAGTTTATTCAAATTGCTGTTAACAAAATACTCTTAGACTAATTTTAGGAAACTAAGAGTCATTTGGCCATGCAAGGACCCTGGGAGCTGACAGTTCAGGACTATCTTGTGTTGTGCTAAGCAGCCTGTGTGTAAACTTTCCAAATGGCATTATTCCCACCAGCTCTTCCAAAGCGAGTACTGTCCATTCCCTAGATAAAACGAGAAGGAGGGGGAGAGGGAGGAATGGAAGGAAGGAAAGAAGGAGGGAAAGAAGGAAGGAAGGAAGGAAGGAAGGAAGAGGAAAGAAAGGAAGAAAGAGAAAGAAAGGACAATATGTTTGTTCAAGAGGCATTATTTCCTTTCACTTTCCCTCATCATAAAGAAGTTGAGTAATTTTGGGCGCCTGGGTGGCTCAGTTGGTTGAGCAACTGCCTTCGGCTCAGGTCATGATCCTGGAGTCCCAGGATTGAGTCCCACATCGGGCTCCCTGCTCAGCGGGGAGTCTGCTTCTCCCTCTGACCCTCCCCCCCTCCCCCCAGCCATGTGCTCTCTCTCTCTCGTTCTCTTTTTCTCAAATAAATAAAAAATCTTAAAAAAAAAAAGTTGAGTAATTTTAACAGCTGGAAGTACCGCTTTAATCCCCAAACAAAATATGTAATATTTTATGGCATAGGTTGAAATATAGTACAAATATGATGGCTACATTATGCACTAAGTAAAATGCAATTGGAAAGAACAAGACCAAAAGAGCATATTCCAAAGCCTCATCATACTTCGTTAATCATTTGAACTTATTAACCATAAAATTTATAATAGCCATTGAGCCCTTATTATGAACTAAGCATGTGGTTTTCAAACTCATATTATCTCATTTAATTCTCTCACCAATCCTATGAAGTAACTAATATTGTATCTCCATTTTTATATGTGAGGAAAAGGTGCAGAAAGTTTCAGTAAGCAGCTCACAGCTAGGAAGGGACAGAGCCAGTGCTAAGTCATCCATTCAGCTTACAGTTAAAGATATATATTATATACATTATATGTATAATTTGATTTCTAGGAAAATCATTTACAAACTGCCTTTAAATCCCAGCATATTTAAATGTGTTATTCTCCACTAGCTCTTAATGAAAAATTAACTTCCTATAATTATTTCCTATAACCAATTTCATCCTTTGGAATGATGAAACAGATGAATCTAGGGCACCTGGGTGGCTCAGTTGGTTAAGCGACTGCCTTCAGCTCAGGTCATGATCCTGGAGTCCCAGGATCGAGTCCCGCATCGGGCTCCCTGCTCAGCGGGGAGTCTGCTTCTCCCTCTGACCCTCTTCCCTCTCGTGCTCTCTCTCTCTCTCATTCTCTCTCTCTCAAATAAATAAATAAAATCTTTAAAAAAAAAAAGAAACATGAATCTAAATTAATCTTGTTGACAATGGAAATACAGATTTGGAAAGTCAAGGTGAAGGCGTGCCTGGGTGGCTTAGTTGGTTAAACGTCTGCCTTTGGTTCAGGTCATGATCTCAGGGTCCTGGGATTGAGCCCTGTGTCTTGTTCCCTGCTCAGCAGGGAGTCTGCTTCTTCCTCTCCCTCTGGCCCCCAAACCCTGCTCCTGCGTGCTCTCTCTCTCAAATAAGTAAATAAGATCTTGAATGAAAGAAAGAAAGAAAGAAAAAAAAGTCAAGGTGAAGAATTTTGCTGGTTATTAAGCTGCGTTATTCCCAGCTTTTCTTCCTGGTTGAGTTCTCCATGTGAGAGTTCTTTTTACAGTTCAAAGAATTGTGGTATTTATTAGAAGTGATTATTTATGGAATCCATTTGAGGTCAGATTCTTGATGCTATAAAGACAAGCTGAATTTAGAGAAAGAATCAGCTCAGTAAAGTAACATAATTCTGATAATAATTTTTAAAAGACCAAACTAATTTGTTGTCATTGAATTTCATTTCTATTGTGCTATCTTATATATAACCACAATATTTCCTGAAGAATGGGTGATAAATTCACATTTAGAGTTTCAGGATCCAATTCAAATGTAAATTCTTTCAAACTCCCTCAAGGGAAAGCTATTATTTGGAACTATGGTAATTTATGTTTTCTGAAGCAATCTTTCACTAGTCAGTGAGTTATCATAAATCTTCCTTTATAATATTGTATATGTACACACACACTCACTGATGCAAACCATATTTCATCCAAATAGTTCAGGGACCATTATAAGCATTAGTTTATTACTTGTCAGAACATACTAAGAGTTAAATGTGCCACATATACTATTTCCAATTTTGTGGCTAAAAAAAAAAAAAAACCTTCCTGAAAGAATTTGATTATAGCTTAGAAATTTGCATATTGCAGCTCACTTTTTTCTGGGTTGGAAAACTGTAGGTTAAGCTACTTGAAATCCCTTTGAGGATCTGGAGCAATAGAAAGATTTGAGCTATACCAAGGGTTTGTCCAAAAATTCCACAATGTTTCTCAACTATTTAAAAAATCTATGCCCCTTTCTGATACATATAAAAATCTCCTATCTGCAGGAGATTCCAATAATTCCACTTCCCACCCCATCCCACCAGATAGACAAGAACTGCACTTTTAGTGCATCACCAACAGTCAGTTTAGTCATGCATTTTTATGCCATTTATGCTATAGAAATATTGATTTATTTTATTTTATTTATTTATTTGTCAGAGAGAGAGAGGCAGGCAGAGGGAGAAGCAGGCTCCCCGCTGAGCAGGGAGACTGATGCGGGACTCAATCCCAGGACGCTAGGATCATGACCTGAGCCGAAGGCAGATGCTCAACCGACTGAGCCACCCAGGCACCCCAGAAATATTGATTTTTTGAAATGGTCCAAGTATAAAATTACAGTGAAGCATATGCCTTTCCAAAAGACATTGACTCGCCCCTCCCCCGCTGCTGTCAGCATTGTAAAACCCACACCTCCTCTCAGCACTTCTCAACTGAGCGCCTCATCTCAACAGGTCGGTCAAGCCTGGATTCTGTCAAGCAATGACCTCAACTGGCTTTTCCTAGGGAAAGCAGAGGGCCAGGCCAGATAGCTGGACCTTGATTTTAGAGACACCAGTTTGGAACTTCCTTCAGATTGAAAAAGATCCTTCTAGGTCTGGGGTAATTTGAATGGCAGGCTAATTAACACCTTTCTCAAAAAGGGGTGGATAAAGGGCCAGGCGCCTGGGTGGCTCAGCCGGTTAAGGGGCTGCCTTTCGGCTCAGGTCAAGATCCCGGGGTCCTGGGATCAAGCCTCTCAGCGGGGAGCCCGCTTCTCCCTCTCCCACTCCCCCCTACTTGTGTTCCCTCTCTTGCTGTCTCTCTCTCTCTGTCAAATAAATAAATAAAATCTTTAAAATAAGGGGGGGGGAGTAGAGGGCTTGATAACTTAACCCCTAGAATAAAAGAGTGGTACAAGCCTGACGAGTACTTTTTAAGAATTTGAACACTCTGTAATTCACCCTTTGCTTATTTTTCCTAATCATTGTATGTGTTTATATCAAGAGTAAAAGTATTTTAAACGTGTCACTGTTTAGGATGTTTATTTCTGGCATGGGGAAAGGAAGACAAACA